TGTCCAAACCGTGTTGCGGATTCAAGGAGCGCCCCATCACACGGCTGAACCTAGATGGCGGGTCGCAGATGCGCCTTCGAGAAGGTGCGGCACGGAGAAGGATGGTCGAAAGTTTGATTGAGCAGATTGTATTACTCCACCTGGACGCCTCAACCTTTACAAATTCGTTGTAGAGCTATACTGATGCTACGTTATAGCTGTCGTGCACACTGTGGCTTGAGGTGAGGTGAGGTGTCAGACCTGACCACGCTCACATCCCTTGGACAATGCGCATCCTTACCGGTACTCAAACTTCCTCGGCGACCGTCCTCCGCGATTACCGCGATAGCAGTGCGGCGTAACCAAGGTCATTCTGTCCACGTGTGAGGAGAAGACTTGTTGACAGCTACTCACACCAGAGTGGCTCGCGTCTGAATGCCGGTGTGTCTGAAATTGACTGCATCGAACGATCCTAATCAGTGACGAGTCAGCGAATACACCGACGTTGGACCTAAACTTCGGGCGCGAAGGACTTACACGTTCACACCCAATGCATGCCTTCCTCTTTCGCTCTCTCGTACGTCTATCACACCGTTATGTGCTACCAGGTCGCCGGAAAACGAGCAACTTGCTTCACCCTAAACCCTATCAGCGATACCAAAACACACGTTCAAATGACCAAGGCGACCAATTCGTTTCCCAAGAAAAAAGCGATGTCTGCACCGGGAATTGCCCTCCCTCAACGGCATCTCCCACAAAACCCACAGCCCTCCATTGGCTCGCTCAAAGCCGACTGGCAGCGCATGAGACGCCCAAACGCATCATCACACGTTTCTCATCGGTAAGGGGACGAAAGCACGTCGCCAATCGAGGTGACGCGCCCGATACTGTACGCATGATCGTGCATATGGTGGGGTTGTCCTTGAGAAGGTGGACCCGACAGTCTGGGTGCGTTGCAAGCAAGGGCTTCTCGAAAAGGGCAATGCTTCCTGCGATAGACGCATACCTCCGGTCATCCGAGGAGAGGAAAATGGAGGTCTATATGTAACGCGATGATCATGCGATGCTATAGTTGATCCGTTGTCTGCTGAGAGCCCCCTCGCACAGCAGTCATGTGTGCTCCAGGAGAGACTTCAACTGCATCGATGCCAGATAGAGCAAGATGCAGTTAGTTTGAGGAACCGTAAGTAGTAGAGGGGCAGATGCGAGTGCTACTTGACTCTACTTCACTACGTATTGCTAACAAATATGGTATCAACACGATTACCCATGTTCTTTTCTCATACTACTGCCAGCAGCATCTTTGGTAAATCCTTTACCACCTCCACAAGCCAACAACTCGACTCACAGCAGGGGCTGCTGGATGACTAGTTTTCCAAACCCTCTTCCGAATCCACCAACTTTGACAACCTGCTGCAACGCGTCTTCGGCAGTGCCTTGGAAAACTTCTACATTCGGGAGCTCAAAGCGGTCGCCGTAGTTCTCCACGGCCCATTGTAATGCTTTCCAGGCATGCCAATGCTCTTCCGGTCTGGCAGGAGTCTCGATTACATGCGGAACACCAGGTGGCTGGATGCGCCAGCTGTCTTTCGTGTACGCAACGGGCATGCGGAACCCCCCATCGAATTTTGTCACAGAAACCAAAGTCGCGGAAGGATTATTCACACTTCGTACGACCAGGTCCGCTGAAGACGATGCACCGACTGCGTCCAGGGCATGAGAGATCGGGCCCTCACCAAGAGCCTCCACCGCAGCGGCAATATCAGACACAACCGTCGACGAAGCGTAATCGAAAACAAACGTTACTCCGATCCTCTTCAGTAGCTCATGCCGGGCTGGCGAAGCAGTCACCAAGATGTTCTTGCACCCACTGGCACGCAGGAACTGGACGGCGCTGACGCCGACGCTAGAAGAAGCACCCCAAACCAGAACAGGCTGCGTATATGCCGCCGGAGCGCTGGGCAAAGGGAATCGGAAAAGATTGAATACCGCGTCTGCAGCCGTCATCGCCACTACAGTCAGCGCTGCGGCGTGGCTCTCCGGAAGATTGGACGGTACTTCGAATACCATGTCTTCTGGGCACGCGAGACGGCGTTGGTGTACGCCGTACTTCAGAGGTCGGCCAATGCCCGAGGGTGTATAGCCAGCCACGGTTGTTCCCTTCTTGAAGCGTGATCCGGTAGGTGTCGATGCAACAGTGCCACAGAAGTCGTAGCCACTAACTGTCGACCGGATGCCAAGCTGTGAGTGTTTGGCGTCTGCCGGGTTGACACCTGAGTATTTCACTTCCACCACTATCTCATTGGCCGCAATTTCTTCGTGTTTGATATCGTTTCGAATCTGGATTTGTCCATCCTCGTCGACGTATAGCGCCTTGCTGGATGTTGTAGTCATGGTTTGTGTTGGTGGGTTGGTGACTTCTATTTCGTGGGTTGGAGCAGCGAGGGTAAGGTTGGAATTGAGATGAATGAACTGATACAGTGAAATAAACATGGAAAATGCTCGTCTTGTACTCACGGTTCTAGTCACCGCGGTCGGTACCCGCGCATGCCGCGCATTATTGCGCGCCACGGCACGTACGTAGGCGATGCAGGTACTGACCCAGGAGGTTGCCGGGAGCTAGCAATTGTATCTCTCCGACCCTGTTAGTGTCGACGCGTTGAACATCAAACATGGTTGGGGAGTATGTGCCAAGTCTTTCGGCCGAGCATGCCCAGTGTTGTTGTACGATTATCGAACAACGGGGCCGGACAAACATACATACCGATAGTATATCATCATCCTCCTCTTAGCCCTCCACCATCCATGTTTCTAATCATAAGCCTACCACACCTTAACGTCGGGTGTTCCCAACGGTAGATGCGGTAATGCAAACCGGAATGTGGAGTTAATAAGTATGCTTCAAAAAACGGGCATAAATAGTGCCGTTGCGCAGGATGTTCCACTGTTGGTATACGATCGAATCAATTCCTTCTGAAAAACTTCTATCGCCTCTTAATCTCTTGACATCGTCTCTTCGCTACTATGACTACAATCAAGATCGGCTCAGTCGACGTCAAATTTCTCGACGCTGACAAGCAGAGCATCCCTCCACTGAACCAAAGGACGACCGAACTTCCACCGGGTCACAGAAAGCAACCAACATTCCGCCCGTTTACAACAACGACCATCTTCGACCAAGACCAAGCCCTTACGCTTAGAGATGGAACGGTGATCTATGCCGACGTATTCCGTCCCAAAACCGACGAGAAGGTTCCTGCCATCGTCATGTGGGGGCCATATGGCAAGACTGGAACGGGAATGCTAAACATTCATGGCATGCCACTGCGAGCTGGTATACCAGAGACCCAACTATCAGGCTACGAAGGCTTCGAAGGGTAAGCCTAGAACCAAAATATCACGAAAGCATAAGTGCATCCCCCACTAACCACAACTCCAGTCTCGACCCTGCAGAATGGGTACCGCTTGGCTACGCCATCGTCATGATAGACCCAAGAGGCGTGAACAACTCCGGGGGCAACATCCACTTCTGGGGCAGCACCGAAGGACGCGATGGCCACGACGCCATCGAAGAGCTCGCCAAGCTACCCTGGTGCTCTGGCAAACTGGCCCTATCAGGCAACTCCTGGCTCGCAATATCCCAGTGGTTTATCGCGGCTGAGCAGCCACCGCATTTGGTATGTATTGCGCCTTTGGAGGGCTTATCAGATCCTTTGCGCGAGCAGTCGCTACGTGGAGGAATTCCAAATACGGGGTTCAACGAATGGGTTGCTACTATGTTGGCGGGGAAGAACATGGTGGAGGATTACGCTGCAATGGCCCACATGAATCCTGTACCTAAGGGATATCTCGAGGATAAGCGTGTGGATATGGCAAGGATCAAGGTGCCTGCTTATATCGGGGCCAGCTATTCATCGACTCTCCATACCATTGGCGCCCTACGAGCTTTTGAGGAGATCCAGCATCCAGATAAATGGTGCGTATTACCCCCTTCTTGCTCTTGTCCACACGTTTTGCAATTATTGACAACTCCGCATCTAGGCTCGTACTCCACGCAACTCAAGAATGGTACGACCTCTACAGTCCAGACCGCACCGCAGACCTCGCCCGATTCTTCGACTTCCACCTCAAAGGCCTTTCCAACGACTGGCCGGAGACCGCACCCGTCCGTATGGCCTTTTTGAACTTCACCAAACCAGCTTTGTTGGACCAAGAGTATCCAGATCTACCATGGCACCTCCCCACAGCCACAGTCCAGAAACTACATCTCAATCCCACCGGCACCCTCACCCCAACCGCACCACTCTCAAAAACCACACTCGAGTACCAAGCCGACTCCTCCTCCGAACTGACTTTCACATACATCTTCCCCAGCAAAACTATCCTCACCGGCCCCTCCACGCTCGTCCTCTCCATCGCAGCACAGGATCACAACGACCTAGACATCCACGCCCACATCTTCAAAGCCTCCGCATCGGGAACCATGCTTTCTCACCTAAACATTCCCATTCCGGCCAACACACCCTCTGAAGTCGCAGAGAAAATGACGCAGAATAGGGTCTGGCGGTACCTTGGTCCCAGCGGCATGTTGCGTGCGTCGAAACGCCATGTGTCAGATGCGCTGCGCGGGAAGACGTGGGAAACGCTGTCGATGGAGCGTGACGAGAAAGTGCAGCCGGGGGAGGTGGTGCGACTAAAGGTCCAGCTGTGGCCGACGGGTATGGTGTTTGAGGCTGGGGAGACGCTTGTGCTGAAGGTTAGTGGGAGGGAAATGGGGTTGAGGGATCTGCCTGGCGCGATGGTGATGAAGAATGAGAATGTAGGGAAGCATGTGATACATATTGGTGGGGAGATGGAGGGGTATCTTGAGTTTTTTACGATTTAGTCATGGAGAGGGGAGGGGAGGGGAGATGTAGGATGTCCCCGTTACCGGGCTGGAATTTGACATGATAGCCTCTTGATGCCATGCATTGAAATTTCCAAGTCCGCCTCTAGGCTAGACTGTTCAATTCACGCCTCGACTACAAAGTCTCGGCACAAACCATCGGGCCCTCTACCTCGGCCCTCTTCTCCTTCCCACAAAGCTCTTCCACAATCGTGAGTGCAAAGAGCATCGCAGTCCCCGGTCCGCGACTCGTGATAACCTTGCCATCAACCACAATTCTCTCCTCACTATACTCCCACCCCGCCTGCTCAACTTCTTCCTTCACACTAGGATGACTCGTGACTTTCTTCTTGCCCTGCTCCTCAGTACTTTCCGCAGCAACGAGCGCCGTTGTAGCAGCGCAGATAGCAGCCACCCATTTCCCTTCTCTCCGGAACTTGGATATCAGTGAGAGAACTTCGGGGCTAGAGCAAAACGTCTTTGCGCCTGGTGCACCGCCGGGCAGGATCAGAATGTCGTAGTCTTCATGCGCTGTATCGAAAGGTACGGATTGCAGGTTTAGGTAGTCGGGTACGATGCGTATGTTGCGTGACATGCTAAAAGGTCGAATGAGTCGCTTTGACTATCAGAGACTTGAGGGGGGTTTAGGGTAGAATAGCACAGGGATGGGGACGGGGAATGAGGATGGGGAGTCCTCACTGTGCATAGCTTTCGTTCTTGAGATCTACACCAGCGGATTTGACTTCGAAGCCCGCGCGGGTAAGTACTAGGATGGATGGCATATCAGTATCAACTCAAGTATGCCTCTTTTTCCACAACCGGCCAGTCATGTAAAGTGGTGTTCAGCTCTAGTCATTCTCAACCAAGTAGGCAACTATTGCTCTCAAGCATCCACAACAAGATCCTCTTTCACCCACTCTTTGTGGGACCTCTCATTTGGGAATGTCTATTCTAGGCTCGCACGTGCCTTTCTACAGCTCGTGGATGTGGTGGAACAGAACGTATTCAACGTACCATCATAGGGAGTCACGAATTCAATCTCCTCGGATCCATCGGCGACCAAGATCAGGGCTTTCGGCATCGTGGATTGTAATTGAGAGAACTAGCTTATTTTCACGTGATGCGAGTAGTTTCGTGAGGAGTTAGAAGAACAGAGCGTAGTTGTCGATTAAAAGGATCGTTGCTGTAAGCATGGTACCCAGGTGGCTCCGCGCCTTAGCTAAGCGTGACGTATGCTGAGCATCGGGGAGGGGCTCGGAAACACGTTCCGAACATTCCCTATAATCATGTCTCGCAATGGCATATGAGGCAGACTTCTTTCAAGAGAAATGATGCATGTGCGGCGAGTTCATCTCACAAGACACAGAATCACAGCCAGCACAAGTAAGAGGGTCGTCAAAGATATAGCATTCGCAGCCTCTCCTCCACGTTACGGTACGCCCAAAGCAGATCGGTCGTCAAGGATATCACAAAAAAAGCCGCACAGGACATCGTGTAAGGTTCTCCCGTCTCCTATGTACACACCTTCCGCCTCTCGTCTTGTGTGCTTTGCTCGTAGGGTTCCACCTAAATTCCCATCCCGTGTGTAAAGTAGACAAGCAAAGGCGCTTGAACAATATTCGAGTCGGACTCAGCAGCATCGTCGAAAGACACCAAAATGTGCAGGAGATGCATACACCACCACCGTCTTCTTCTATGCATTCGCGTGGAACCCCGGGGATATCTCTCTTCCATCTCTCTTTCTCTCATAAGCTCATGCAATGTGACAAGAACCACCTCGTACCTATAAGACAGGACGTCTTATAAGAGATGAGCGGTCCTCCGTCTTCGTCAAGATATTAGAGCGGTTATTGCAACGTGATGGAGCGCCTGCCTCCTCCATCTTTGCCCGTCGGGAAAAGCAAAAAGCAAACAGGGTATGTCACAAAAAACCGGGAAGGAAAAGCAGCCAGACCGCGTCTATCGTTGCAAAGTGGTAAATCGCATCGCGGAAAGTTTGAGGTATCAAGGCGAGGTAAAGACGTGCGAGTGAACAAGCAAATAGGCCCCTAGCATGACCATGCTCGCGGAACTCCGAAACACCGGGTACATCGTGAAAGCAACGCAGACATAGGTTCGTAACATGCCCCAAAGGGCCTCCCAGATCGGTGTATAGAACTGGTGGTGGATAATGAAGAATGCGCATAAGGATGTGCTCAGATCACAAGCTCATCGTCAACCATTCCTGTAAGTCTATCGTTAGTATTTGGCCTTTGATCTTTGAGCAGATGTTACTTACCCATTCAGCAGGACCAGATGATTGCAGGCCTTGGCCCATGGCACCCATCGGAAGTGCGCCTAAATTCTGGCCTGGGAAAGGACTGGGACTAGCGATGGCAGTGTCTTTTCTGCGCAATGGCGCTCTCCCACTCGTATCGTCCGCATCGCCCATTTCGAGCTCCTGTGATTCCACTTTGCTCGAGCCGCGAACACGCTTCGGCGCAGGAGCGACAGTGCGAGTCTGTGCCAAGTTTACGGAGCTGTTGGACTTAGGCGGGCCAGGCGCGATTGGAACCACACCGCTCGGTTTTGAGGATGTCGGTGTGGTAGATGAGGACATGGTACCGGAGGCGCCTCCACCCGAGCCAGTAGATTTTGGAGACTCGGACTCGGCCGCCTTGTGAGACGTGGGAGTCGTCACCGGGGTGTGCGCGATTGAGTTCTTTCGCGAAGACTTCTTTGACGATCGCGTAGATGTCGTGCCTACAGGTGCGTTGCCGCTCCCGCGGTTGCGCTTCTTGATTACATCGGTCTTGAGCGACAAGGGCCGAACAACTCCGTGCAGCTTTAAGAACAAGCCACATGCATTGCAAAGTGGATGTCCCTCCGGGTTGCGTCTCCACAAAGGCGTTGTCTGGGTAAAGCAGTTGGTGCAGGTTGTGGGGGCACCACCGTCACCCTGCTTCGATCCACCAGGACTTTGAGGCCGTGATGGGGCTGCAGAATTAAAGCCAGACTCTGGCGGTGAATTGGGTGACGAGACTAGACCATGCATGCCCTGGTGCAGCATTCCAGCAGCGTTAGGTGTTGAGCTAGTGCGGGGTATTTTCTGGCGTCGTGGATCGCTCCCTCGATTGCGTATGTCGCTTACAGAGGCAGCCGAGCCATGCGTCCGCCCAAGACTGCCCCCAGGACTCCAGTGATCTTGCGGTGAGTGCACCATTTCGGTGCCGCCAATTGTGACCGTCTTGCGTGGGGGTCCTGCCGGGTACCGCGCTTGCATCGGGTTGAATTGATTGGAGAGATTTGTCTCCCACTGGTAGCCAGCATTGAAATCAAGTGACCCGTCCTCCATCTGCGAGTAGTCCTGTGGCATGGTACGGTCTGCGAACGCGCTTCCCTCGTCGTCCTCGGCGTCAGAATCGGCGCCGAAGGTGAACATGTTCTCCTGACGTCCCATCTGCATCTCGTGCTGCTGTCGGAGCGGCAGATGGTTATGGAGTACTTGAGACGGATCTACGTGACTCGACTGGCCAAACGACGACGCTGAGGAGAATGGTAGCGAGCCGCTAGTGCTCGTGACTGGACTGAAGACAGAGTCGGGACCGCCGGCTCCAGGATTGAAGATGAACTGCGGCTGCATGGAGGTCGACAGGTTGGAGGGGCGGTGGGGTCCATACGAGGCGCCGCCGTGCGAGTTGCGGATGTCCATGCCACTCCGGTCAAAGTACATCTGGTTGTCCTCGGGAATGGGCTGTGGGGTGGAGACGGTGGAGGGGAAGGCGGAGCTGGGCGGGGAGTAGTAGTCGGTGGAGTTGAGGGAGGAGGCCATGGACTGCTGGTTGAACATGTTGGAGTTGAAGGCGTTGTGGCTCATGAGGGGCGAGCCGACAGGAGAGAAGCCCGAGAAGTTCTGCTGGTAAGGGCCGGCGGAATGTATGACGGGGTCGTCGTGCATGGAGAAGGTGTCTATGCTGAAGGGGGCCTGGGCCTGTGAGGCTGGGAAGGTGGGGGGCTGCATGGAGTGGTCGAGCGAGTACTGGTGCAGGTCGTGCTCGGCCTGGGCGTCGGTGGGTATCATGATACTGTTGACGGGAGGGACCAGAGGAGAGGCTTCAGCGCGCCGCTTGGGAGGCTGATAAGAGGTTAGTGAGGAAATGGCAGGGCGAGAGATAAGGAACTCACTCGTCGCTCGTCGATGCTGGTCTTGCGGACGTGTCGCGGAACGTAGCCAAATTCATCCTCTCTGTGGATAGTAGGAGGCACCGAGGGCGCGGAGGCGCGGGCGAGGGAGAGGTTGTGGTCGTTGGCTAGATGCGGCTTTCTTATCGGTATCGCTGGGGCTGTTGCATTAAATGGAGCCGCATCCTCATTCGACAATTCGGGCGACAGGCCTGCAGGACTGCCGACGGACGACGGAAATATAAAATCGTCCAGGTTCATGGCGTCGTGGGGCGAGTTCTGATGTACCTGCGCTTGCTGGTCCTGCGACTTGCGCAGCTGCTGGGCGATGCCGCTGGGAGCGGATCTTGGCGGCGGTCTTGCGCCTGCTGTTGAGGGCGGCGGCGGCATCAGTTCAGCGTGGTGCGCATCGGGAGCGGGCCTGCGCGCGAGGAATCACAGTTAGCCAGCTGGTATTGGGGAGTCAAGTGGTAGCGACGCAAAAGCAAGTGCGGCATATGCGTACCCTTTATTGCGATCCATCTCGGCGCGGCGCATGTTCATGGCCATCATCCGCCAGGTCAGGTTCTCCATGCGCTCAGCATTGGGAAGCTGCGTCTTTGCCCGCGAGTAGAGCTTCCAGATTTGCGTGCCCAGCGGATCGTTCTTCTGCAGCTGCTCTGGCGATTCCACGCTGGGGGCGCCCGCATCGTTGCCGAACGCTGGGAAGATGGCATCCTGGAGCATGCCCCTCTTGGAGCTCGTGTCATGGGCCGACTGTACCTCCATTTGGCCCTCTGGTCTGTCAAAGTCCATGGGTTTTCAGACGGGGTGGTGCCCTCTTTGGTGGGCGGCGGATATTGCGAGTGTGCCTCTCACGGGAAAGCGATGATGTAGCTGCGTCGGCGCGTGCTCTGAATCGGATGGGCGCACCCCACGTTAGCTGCGGACCTCAGCTGCAACCAAGCCGAAGTAGGCCCTGCACTGGCACTGGAAGGTAGGCTGCGAGAAATAATACTAGGTTCGAGAGGCCCAGCGTAAGAGCGGGATTGTCTGTTGCTTGATGCGTGCTGAGTGCTGGCCTCGCACAGCGACAACGGCCTGTCACGAGTAGATATTGGACTGTGGCTGCTGTCCTCCACGGGGAACAAGGCTCGAAATGTTCGCGCTCCCGGGACCAGTGAGCGGCGCAATAATTGAATTGCAGCGATGCGGGCTCCAGCGTGCGACGGGCAGCCGGTGGCACTGGGTGGGTCGTGAGTCGTGACGCTGGGCCTTGGTGAGCAGAATGAGATGCCTGTGTGGAGCGTTCGGCACCCACGCTCAGACTACGCTGCCCCCACCATTCACTCTCTTCACTCTCGGACGCCAATCACACGTGCAGCCTGCACCCTAGCTGCTAGGGTCCTGTTTGGGGCGTTCCCTACCCTCGCAGCGCGGCACGCCCTCTCCACACTGTCGTCAAGTGCGCGACTCAGAAAAGCAATGCTGCGCGCACACGACACCCAGACCTGACGCGTTTGCGGCGTGAAGCCTCCGGGCCCGCAGCCACTGCAACCTCAGATGTGCGATGACCCACGGCGGTTGAGCTCATGGCCCGCGAGGTGTGTGTGGGCTGAACGGGAGAATGCTTGCCTGCCGCTTAGCATGCACGCCCTTGCTCCTATCGAGACCGCCTGAACCGTGCTGCGAGGATTCTTGGGAACCCCGGACAGAGTCTCGGAGCTCAGAATTACGAGCGGCCAATTTGTCGGCGTGTGCTGCTGTCGTGCAGACCAGCGACGCCAGTCAACACCAGAGCCCTACCAGAAGAACCCTAGGCCCTCGGTGTCTCGTTTCGAGAACAATTAGAGAAAGCACGATTCACGATGCCATCTGCACTGCGCTGATCCCGGGACGTCACTTCCTTCAGGCCTCGCCAATGTTCCCTCTTGACATGTT